AATAAAGAGGTTGATTTTAGCTCATATTCCACTTTTAAAAGGCAACACAAGATTTATTTTTATAGAATTGGCACTGGGAGAGCACAAGCCTGCTCAAACAGATCTGGCCATTCTCTGGTTCAAATAAAAATGAAAGTGTTTCTGGTCCAAGAGGTACATATGCCTTTTGGTCAGAAGGCATAAAACCCAAGGTCCAAAAGGTTAATAACACCAGTGATGAAATCAAAATACCTCCAACAATTTTTTTGTGTGTTTCACTGCTTTACAAAAACACTGAAACTAATACCAATAAAAATACTTTCACATCAAAAATGCCATTGTCTGAGTTAATTTTAGCTTTTTTAAAAAATAAAATATTACTAAATGGTTTAACACTTAGCATTGGAAAAATACCAAAGAATTGTCCTTTCAACCAGATGATTGATGTAACTTCTATAAATGCAATGCTGATCATTCAGGAGGAACAGTAACTTAAAAAAACTAAAACACTGAAAGATGGAACCCCCAGAAAGACTCATTCATTCTCAGATATATGTGTACACATATGCACAGATACTTAGTGGAGATTTTAAAGTGTTAAAGAGCCACTTGAACAAACAGAAGACATTAATCAAGAATTACTAGCAAGCAAGTATTTTAGTCTTGCAGCTGTATGTGACATTAATAGTCTTAGGCACTCTGCTATATTTATGGAGCATTCTGAAAACCTTGTTATGGGGCATAAAGCATACACTTTATCAGCCTAGGGTTACTATTGGCATTATCAAGACAAAATAATAGTTGTTTCCAGACAGAAGAAACAACAACAACAAAAAACCTTAGTTACTTAAAACACTTTTCTTTCATTAAAATGTTTCAAAGCTTGATATTTAAGGTTTTTTATGAAAAATGCAAAAGGAAAAAATTATCATGATTTTTATGATCTAAGCAATGTAATATAATAGTCCTGGGTATCATGGCTCCCTGCAGAAAAATCCCAGTGCACTAAAATTTTATTCAAAAAGCTCGGTCAAAGGGTAACTTGGGGTTGCAGGAATACCCTATACACAACACATCATCTTGCTTTTAAGCACAAGAATAACCTACAGCACTGGGCTTCATTCATTAGCATAGGATAGTGTATTTACTGGCGCAGGCAGGCAGAAACAGCTGGATCTTCCTTTGGCAAAGGCCACTGATGAGCTGTGCAGACTTCACAGTGAACAGCTTTTTCTTCAGCCACACGATCAAGCAGCTGTAGGAACAGATTTATCAAAAAAGCTTCTGATGTTGTTCTCAGATACTGTACTTTTAATAAACCTATTTCCACTACTTTGTCAAAGAAATAGCTGGTCTTCAAAATGGAGTGCATTACATATGAATTTTTGTAGTCAAACACACTATTCTGCATGCAGACCTCAGACATTTCCTAGGGCTTCTGTGTTTCTCTAACATCTGCTCATGTTAGAATGTGTTTTTATTGCTATAGGCTGAAATCTGAACAAAACTACAGAAAAGTATGCAAGATTTTAACAAGGCAAGCAAGAGTGGGTTTTGTAGTGACCTAAAGCAAACAAATATTGACAATAAGAGACATAATCTGTTTACAATCCTAAAGCACATGTGTTGGAACATTTCTCTTGTAAACGAACAGTACAGAAGCTCAGGAAAAACATTGCAACATTTAAGGCTAACTTTGCAAATGAATACTTAAATCTTGTATTATAATTTTTGCCTTTTCAAAGCACTATCCAGAGAGATTGTTCCTTGATATGTTCCAAGTATTGCTGTACTTTAAAAAACTGGCAGGGTCACTTTCTGAAATGAGAGAAGTGGTCTCCTTTGAAGCTAACTGAAACAGATTGCTAAGTAAGTCTGCAAATAAGTGTATTTTTTATTTTTAAAAAGCAAGACAAGCATTCTTGATTTCAAATAATACTTATTTACTAGACCATGCTGAAACTCAAATAAAGGAGATGAACATAGACAAACGCTCTCCCAGTTTTCTCTTCAGTAGTTCTGAAGGTGGGAGATAGGAAGAAAATCTGACTTGATTCTTGCAAAATCTTTCAGCTGACACCAAAAACTGTGCATTATGGTTGTTTGCTTTACTTCATTAGATGCTATAGCAGTATTTTAAAGTTCCTCCTTGGAAATAGATTTATATGAATTATTAAAAATATTAAATTCTAGTTTCAGCTACTAATTGCTGCCAGAGGAATTTTTAAAAATTATGAAGTGAATTCTCCAAAAGGAGATCCATTAAGCTAGTTTTTATGACAAACCTTCTCTTGAAATTTAATTGTGGACTTAATAAAATTACAATGAACAATTCTGCAATGAACAATGCTGCATCCTTGCAGCAAACTGGATAGACCTGCAAACGAGCATTACTCTGCTATCTCAAGCCCAACAAAGCTTCTGTACTTCCACTTACCCATTGAAATACAAACTGAATGATGACATGACAGACCTTTTCTTCACCACATCACCCCTATTTCACAACAGCATATTCTGCTCAGCATTCACACTACACACAACTATGGGTCCTCACTACACCTGGGCTTGGAAGCACACTGTGAAAGAAGCTCCCATGTTCTCCTCTTTCTGCAGTACAGAATGTACCTTTCCTACACAATGTAGCTAAAAGCATACAAAATGACATCCATATTGCAATGGCAACCTTTGGGGATTCTTTCCAACAGGTCTGATTCTCTTCTGTGAGTTTCAAGGAGACACTTGTTCTCTCAGCTAGGAGGTCTGATCTCACAGATGTCCAGGATATTACCAGGTCTATTTGGCCAGTCATATCAGAATTTGTTTGTTCCTGGTATGCACTTCAGGACAGCAAACAAAGAATACTCTGACCAAAGAGTGCTCATTATACTCTGCAGTGCTCTTCTTGACCTCCATCTATAGAAGTACCTGAACCTGCCAATGCACCTTTTATTTTCCCACCCTTCCATGTGCTGACATGTAACAAAAAAACTGTGCCAAACTGTTTTTGCACTCTTTCCAATCCCTGTGCCAAAGACAACTTGGGTAACAATTATGGTGCTGACAGCTAAGCTATGCAGTTTTGCATTAATAAATACCTAGTGACACCAGTATTAGGAAAAACAGACCAACAAATACAAACATTTGCCAAACAGCACTAGAATGCAGATTCACCTTTTTATGTAATAGCCTGCCTTCGTTCTCATTTTACCTGAACCAGCCATGTTCAGCCACCTCACAGGCCTGAAATAAGTAATTCATAGACAATTAAAAATTTTTACTATTTCAGAAAATGTTTTGTCTTTACAGGGCCCTTGATGAATCCTGTTTCAACTTTAAGACATTCAAACCATTCAAAACATTTTCTCCATGTATAAATAACCTCTCAATTTATCTTGTACAACCACAGAATGACTGGATACACAAGGCTGAAAGACACTCAAATGAATTCACATTCAGAAATCAAATACCAACACCACTACAAAATTACACAATTGCAGGGTTTTTTCTCTTTTTTTCAAAGTTTGGAGTAAGAATTGCAAGAATAATTAGTCATCTCCCTATAAAATTACCTACAGCTAAGGCAAGGTCACTGTCAGAACAGTGTATAATCTTCCATGTCAAACACCTTTATAATCTTTATACTGGCTACCTGGAGATACATCTATTCTTGCTAAAATAACATTTTATTAGAGTTGAACTCAACTTTATATGCCCAAACTGGTACCAAAACCAAAAGCAACACAGAGTTTAGTATTTTATTTTGGCTGCCCCCTGGCAAGGTATTAAAATCAACCATCGCTATCCAACTGCACTTTGTTCCTCACTTCAATTTTGATGATAAGATGGTTTTTACAAACAAGTCACACTTCAAACCAGAGTCATGGATTTTCAGCCTAAAGTATTAGGAGAAACAAGAACGCCGTAACTTTAGAATATTCCTCTTTAAAAAGATTCATTTGATCATCTCTGTATTTGGAAAAAAATACGGTAATATTCTTACGACTTTGAAAGGGAGTTGATAATGGGAAATCAAATTTTTTTTTTCCCTTCTGTCAAATGTGACAAATGTGACTTCAAAGTTGCCAGCTGTAGAGAGAAAAGAATCAAAGTAGCTCTTATCATACATTCCAACAGTAGGCAGAATTCTGCTGTTGTAATTCAAAACACCTTACTGGCAAGCTGGGCTAGTGAAAGTGAAGGGCAGGAGAAAGATTTCCATGAAGCCACATTCCATGGAATTCTGTGGAACACAATTTTGTTTTGTCCCTAGATAATGTTAGGCATTTTCACTGCTCATGGAAGATTAATTTATACTTCATTGCTCTTAAGAACTCCCTCCCCAAACTCAAATACAATGAAAAATTATAAATGGATACTGATTAAGAAGTGGACTTTAATGTGAGAGTTATATACCCAAGAGCTCTTCTAGGGGAGGGAGCAACACTTGCTGCCAGAATTTCTACCTGCTCATGTTCAGCAGTGCAGCACTCAAATCTTCCCATCTCATAGCAAGGAGGAAACAAAGGGAAAAAAAGTAATACACTGACTAGTATTTTTCATTTTTTCAGAATTAATTTTAAGAACAGCAACAAAATACACATTTTATCTGAAGTTTAGAGCAACAGGAAAATAAAACCCAGAGGCTGCAAGTTTAACTGTTTGGCAGAAACAAATATTATTTCAGTCAAAACGATCAGGACTCACAAAATAAAAACAACCCACATACACACATCCAAGGCCACATGTTACTTTGCTTTTTAAAGTGGAGGTAATGGAGAAGTACCAGTAAGTATGAGAACAGTTGCTAAATCCCTACTACTAAGTCCACCAGTGCAGGGTGAACTTGTTCCAAGCCTCATTATTGAGAACACTTGTTAAGGCAAATACAACAGGAGCAGATATTGATTTTTAATTCCTATCTTCAAGTTCATGAAATTAAAATATAATCCTTCATTTGAGGGAAGCAATGCTGTTTACATGGCTATGTGCTGTTTTGTACACCTCATAAAAATACAACTTGAAGTAGTACAGCTCTCTTTATTTTGTCAACTGCTATATTAGGTGCCATACTTTGAATGAAAATTATATAAAAAATAAATTTACATGATTGAAGTGCAGCGTTCTTGAAGTATTTGTAGGTTTCAATTTATGATTTTAGAAAAAAACTCTCTTGTAAGGATGGCAAGTTCTTTCACTGAAAAACAGAGCATGAAGTATTTTTGAGATACAAAAATATTTTAACCCAAAAATCTAATGTAAGGACTGGCTAACCATTTTTCTATTATGCACAAGCTTGTTAATTGGTCTCAATTGTCTGTGTGCAAAGTAATGAAAAATACTAGAGAAAGTTCTAATTTTACCAAACATCCTAAGAGCAGCCTTTCAGAATGCTGGTTTTGTTTTAGTGAGAGAAATTTCCTATTTCAGTTTCAAATACTTAGCATTTTAAAAACAGCGACAGGTATTCCTGACATCATCTTTAACAGAATTACTGAACATAATTGATCTAAAAGCATAAACACACCAGATTTATACTAGTACTTGGATACACAGAGGGAAAACCAAAGAAAACTTTCAATCTAGTGATCCAGTGAAATTGAGTGGAATTTCAACACCTAACAGGCCTAGATTTTGGTACAGATAAATTATCTCAGCAATTATGGTGCAGTTACAATCTTTATGAATTAGTCTTCCCACATCACCAAAATAACTAACTGCTACATGGAGACAACCACACTCAGAATTTCTGAAATTTACAGGGAAGACTTAGTTCTTATGTGCCCACCTGCTTTGTCAGTGGTCAAAGTGAAGATTACCCTTCTGCAAGAAAGCATTCACAATGTAATAGAGCTCAACCTTCCCTTCTGTCCATAAGCTTGCTCCACTGTAAAGTACTGTAAAACAAAGTGAAGATGATCTGCCTCCACCACATCAGGTTTTTGTTATGGTAGTGCATAAGCACACACATCTCTCAACTACAAATATTCTGTTCACTTACCATTGTCACCTACTCCCTTTTCCTATTTTAGCCTCTCAGTTCATGTTTATACCATTATCACATCTAACTTTAGATCTAGAAAACATTTTAATATACTTTGAAAACTTAATGCAAAAAGTTTAAAGATTAGTATGACAACTATTTAGCACAACAGATTCTTAAATAGGAGGCCTGTATATTGCTGCAATTAAAGTAGATGATTTATATAGTAAGATAACATATACCTAATTCACAGTGCTTTTTCTACTGTATGGTTTCTCTCTAGTCATCCCAATTCTTTTCATGACATTTAGATAGGTTTATATGTTTAATCTCATTTATTTCTACTTCTAGAAGACAATTGTTACATTAGTATGAAGACTTTGGAGACAGAGAAAGCTACATTTTCAAAAATTTCTACAGCATTAGAATTGTTACTATTGAATGAGTTCATAGACTTCTTTGTTCAGGTCCTTCTATTAAAGTAAAATGTACCAATATCTCCTTTGCTTTTCCCAAGCTGCAAGCATGTACGCTGAAGATTTTGCCCCCAAGCCCCAGTGCTCACAGGAAACTGTCTCTAAGGTCATAAAAATGAATGCTTTTTCAGTCCTGTAGGAGCTTATGCCATGTACCCACATAACAGGTTTCCAAAATATCAAAATAGCTAAAAAAGACCAGTTAACTAAAAAAATTCAAATTTGTATCTGACTTCAGGAAAAAAAAAAAAAAAGACAACTAAGCAGTTGCATTAAACAAGTAATGAGGCAGTGGTCCCCAATCTTTTTGTTATTAAAGTCCCAAATCCAGTTCATTTTGGGACTGCCAGCTATTCACTTCTGGTCCATTTCTAAATTACCTCAGTGTATCTACAGAAGGTTTTCTTCTGTTTGCCCCCTATCTCTCTCCAGCCTTTTGGCTATTTCCTGTCTCACCAGATACTTTATGGCACTTGCAGCATTGCAGCCTCCTGGTGGTGCCACGTGCCAGAACAAAATGATGGTCTGGCAACACTTGTCTAGGTTCTTAACAAAAGCTGTCATGTAAAGAATAGGAGAAAGAATTCACTGAAGAAACTTCCTTTATACTTTTATCACAAAAGCAAAGTTGAGTGCCAAGTTCAGGAACCACTGAGCAGCTCTTGTTTTCTCTGCTCATTTTACCTCCATCTTGTTTCTTTCCGATTTTATGGTTTGTCCACCTTAATTCCCATGGATTCAGTTTTCGGGAATGAAAACCCATGACAACTGCAGAAATTGTCATGTTTACTGTAAGAATATCTGCAGGGTCATATTACTGGCATTTTAAAAAGCCAGGTTAAGACAACAAACTTTTGTTCATCCCTTCCTGTATGAATCCCTTGGCCTATATGTCAAAATACCTGAAAACTGCACTGATACAGTAGAACTTATTTTAACTTGTATTACGAATAAACTGCACATGCTGTTTTACAGACAATATATATTTGTAAACTTGCTCATGCAAAATTAGTGTGCACAACAGGGATATTGGTTTTCTAATCCCCACATCTGTAAAAATGACATTTGTGTCTGCTCTTTTTGAACTGTGCCCAAACTCTTTTTAATGTAATAAATCTTACACATAATTAATCTGCCAGTCAAACCAATTTATGAAGCTGAAACAATAAAATAATAAAAAGTCATACAAAAAACATGGTGCACCTGGACACTTGATTCCCACCTCCCCCCATTTTGTTTACAAGTAGAAAGAATGACTAAAAGAAAAAAAAATCATGGTCACAAAATTTCGACATTTTAATCCTAAACATTACAGGGCAAATGGATGTTGGAATTTATTTCCATACACCATGAGTCAACTTTTTAATTCCCAAATGTGGCCAAATCCACTAAAACAAGAGTGGTTAAACTCTGGACTATGGAAATACATTTCTGAAATAAATGCTAGAAAAGCAATTATGGGAAAAGCCAACTGTCTCCATAAAGGTAAATAAAGTGGAACAATGTGTAGATTAGATACTTTTTCTGTTTCTTACTCATAACCTGTCAATTCAGTGCATCATACGGTTCAACATAATGGTCCCCGTTAGACAAACATCTAACTAGTGTCCATTGATTCCAAGTTAGTGGATGATGAATCTTTTTGGATACTTTCAAAGATGGCTGCCAGCTCAGGGTTAGAGCTTATCTGTGACTGAAATTCACTCATTAATGGACTCTTCTCTGCTTCTGGAATGGTTAGAAGTGCTGCTACAGCTCTCATAGCAGATCGTTTTAGTTCATCTTGCTTTTCAAATTCCTGTTTCACTGAGTTTGCCTTTACCTATGGAAAAAAATGAAAATATGTTTGAAACATTACTCAACTCTCCCTCTATAGCAATCTTAAATAAACATGCCTTTAAAAAAACCTATTTCCTCTCAAAATTATCTACGCTTTTAAAAAAAAACCAGCCGAACAAAAAATACCCCCAAATATCTTTTTAGCAGAATTTTTACCAGCAGTTTACAAATGGACTGAAGCTTCAACACGGCAAGGTAAGCAGAAAAAAGTTGTAAGCTGCCAAGTCAATCACCAAATCAAAGCAACTATAGCAGCCAACCTTTAGCTAGTAAGGTCAGTAAATGACTTTAAACTGCTAATATCACAGTACTCCCATCTTCCAGTGAACAGAACCTTTTAAAGAAGTTGACCTTTATTAGGATAATTTATTAGAATAACCTTCTGTTATTATTCTCAAAGGTATTTCAGTGCTACAAACATAAATTATAATTAAAGGCAGTCAATTCTCATTATGTGAAATATAGCAGACTAGAGTAATGGAAAAGCAAGGTAAATCAGGCAATAAATGACTGTAAGAGCATGCAGGTGAATCAAGACCAAGCAGGAATGGAAGGAGACTAACTACAAAGATCCAATAATCCTCTAATATTAATGAAGAAGAGGTGGGGTAAATGACAAAAACTCTAACAAAAGTCTAGACAAAAAAAAAATCTAACAAAATACGAACTACTGTACACTGCCTTCATCAGCTAATGCTTCTCTGAAATAACACCATCATAAGAAGTCAGAAAAACTCTCAATATTCCAGTTTCACTATTTAGTGAGATTTACAAGTTGTCCCATTGGCAGCTGAATTTTTAAGGAACAACAGAAAATGTATCAAAGAATCAGAGAATTTTAAAAAGAAGCTTAAAAATCTACCTCTCCATCTGTAATTTAAATAAATTTAACTCTTGTACAAAGATCCATTCATTCATTCATTCCTGATGTAATTATCCTGCCTACTACAGCTTATCAACTGTAACTCAGGAAATACTGCAGCAGGACAGAGGTATTCTTTAAAGTTCATTCATATTTCTGTAAGAAAACACAAAATAATGAACTTAAGTATGTTGAAATACCTTAGTTGTGCATGTAGCACGCAAAGGTTCAACGAGCCTGTCCAATCTCTGCAGCACCGCACTCGGACAAAGGGTAGATAGTCTCACCAGCATTAAAAAGGTCAGCATCTAGGGTGAGGAAAAAACCCAATTTATCAACAGTTATGCCTGGCACATATATGGAGATATATTTCCCACCATGCTGTGTAACCTTCTGAACAGACACAATTTAATTAAAATGGCAAAGATAGTGAAGTACTTAAGCATATGAAGCAGTATTTTTACCATTTCAGTCTATTCAACATTTGAAATATTTGGACAAAGTCACTGCTTTCACAGAGAAAATGACAGCTAACCTTGATATCATAGTGATCCTTCAGACCATCTTCAACATGGTTTAAGAATTCAAATATATCTAGTCTATCCAAACAGCTATCCAATAGAGTATACATGCACTCAAAAGCTGCCTTCCTTATGTCCAACCCATCATCAACTGTGTGCTTAAATGGTCCCATTTCCACCTGTCAGTGAATAAAAAAAAAAAAGTTAAGTAACACACTTCTTTTAAAAAAACAACCTACTTACAAATTTAGCATTGTTCTTCTCAGTTAACTTACCTCTCTGATTAATTCCTTTCTGACTTTTGTTTCATTGTAAAGATGAGGAAGCACAGAATCTAAGAGGTCCCTTATCAAAGATGGTTTATTGTGGGCAGCTGAATTAAATGTCACTAGAGCTACTCTCCTGACATTGAGATCTGGGTCCTCCAAAGTTTTCAGAAAATCACCTGCAATCACATACAGAAAGAAAGCAACTATCAAGGATCTTTTATATTTGCAATACTTAAAATATTTTTGCTTAGTTTGAAACTTTCAAAAAGACAAATTTAGTGCAGGAGTTATTTTAATGTAACAGACACCAGCTATTTCAGCATGATTACACAAATAAAGGAGTAATTATCATAATATGAAAAAAATTTATATAATTATTATATAGTACTGCATATAATGAAACAGTATCACCATCAAAATAAATGACCATCACAATGACATATAAACTTTCTTTTCATATAAATTAATGAAAATTGCATTTAACTTCTCATTTTCTCCATTTATTAAAATTCTTTCAAAATATGCACTGGAAAACCAATTTCAATTTCTGCAGTTCAGGAATTCCAGAACACCTCTTAAGGAAACTACTGACATACTGATTTTTTAACCCTCAAATTGGCATATTTTGAAAATACCTTAATTACTATAAAATTGGCCTACTCAGTATATATTAATGTAGTACCACCTCTCCCATGCCCCTCTACCTGTGGGCATTTTTAAATTAGATTATTCTATACTTCTGTAACACAGCCTTCTTGAAATAAATGACTGCATGAATATATCCTCAATATTTGTGAAATTGTTGCAGCAACTTCCATGAGAAATGAACATTTTCTAAGGAGAAAACCAACAAGGTGTAACGACAAAGTGACTTACACTGACCAAAAAGCTGGGTAACAAAACTCAAAATGACTGAGATTTTTAACGTACTAAATTCTGATAGCTTTTTGATTGAATAATCAATAAATATTTCCAGAAACCAAAAGGGCAAAGCAGCTTCAGGGGAGTGGGAAAAACCTACAAGCATAATTCTTGAATATATTACTTAAAAAACAAAAAAGTTTAGTGATGAAAATAACACACAGTAAACTGATTTCATTTCCCTATAAATAAAAACCTTCTTCTTTACAAAACTTTATGCTTTTCGGCATAAATCTTTCCTCTCCTATTAGGTTAAGAATCATAGATGATTCTTACAGATCTTTAGACCTGTAATTAACCAAGCAGAAATTATTCATATCATCTTAAAAAAATCTACAATAGTTTATTATACAAAGGTGAAATTTAAAAAGCTACAGCATTGCAAAAGTCTGTGTCATACTGATGTTACACTTAAAGCTCTGATTACCTTATAAAAATACACACAATTCCAAATGCTTTCAGACAACAAGCATTACAAAATAATAATAACCTGTATTTACAATTGAAAACGTGGTAATACTCAGAATAATTCACACAAGCATACAAGTTTTAAGTGACTGAACATCAAATATTTCCAAGACCACACTTCTCAGTAAATACAGTACATCTTACTACATTAAACTGGTACAATTTGGCAAAAACATGGGAAAGGAAATCAGCTTCTGGATCCCATCCTACTAAAAACATTAGCTTCTTGTATTGCCCATCACAAACTCAATACATAGAATTTTTAATGACACAATTTTTACTGTTCAGAATTCAAATACATTAGTATTAATAGAAATAATTGGCTACTATGGAAGTATCTTGTAACTCTTCCAATAGTTATCATTAGCAAATAATTCTAGTATCTTCAAAATATTTATTTCTGGTAATACAAGAAATAAATTTTAAATGTAACTCTCTTGCCTGAAAACATAGAAGCTGTCAGTACAAGTGGAGTACTTACCTATACAGTTCTTCAAGAGTGGGTCTATGGGTTGAGGATGATCAGAAATAGTGAACTTAACAGCAGTAACAACTGAGCTTCGAGCATATGAAGACCCTAATACAAAACAAAAGTGTGAACATGCAACATTAGAACAGAACAACAGAATCTAAATCATGCTCAATGCTACTCATTACTCTTAGACATCTAATACTCTTAAGAGCAGCAAACAAGAAACGCTGTTTATTGCTAGCAATGCAATACGTAATTCAAACCTACAGATAGAACATTTTAAACAGGGGGGAAATACTATAACATTGTAATAAGCATGTAATGTTATCTCCTTATAATTTGAGCAATAAGTCTATTAAAACAGATTATTTATGATCACACATTGATCTACAAAAAAATTCTCCCCTTTACAGCAGAAGCACATGAAAAAGACGTGAATACAGTTTGTGATATGAGACTGATTAATGAATTATTCACAAAGATCTTTCCTAATTCTTAAAAAACTTCAGAATCCTTATCTGAAAATTAGGAAAATAGTAATTTACACCAAAAGGTCAAAATGTTGCATTTGGTTTGTTAATTTGTCCCTTAGTTGTTCATGCTCCTTCCCCCCTTCAAGTTTATAGCTCTTTCTTAAACATAAAACATAACACTGTTAACAGAAATATAATGCCTGAAAGCAGAACACAAGTTATTCTTGTGTATGACTAACAACTTCTAGTAAACACAAAAGAACTTAAACTTCCGTTGTTGGAGAAGGGGAGCAAAACTTCAAGACACAACATACAAGGAAGTAATTTGAAAAACTAGATCCATTTAACATGTATCATAAAGCCATCTGCTTCAACACATAGATGCATTACTACTCCTCACCTGATGCCAAGTATCCCTTGAGTCGTGGAAGCAAAGTCTCTGGGTCTATCAATGTAAGCTTGCCCAAGCATTCAGCAACAACATTCCTTGTACCCTCTTCTGCACATTCACAGTGTTTCAAGAGTAAGGCCCAGATGTTCTCAACATATGGTTTGAGACCAATGACTGAAGCAGAGCTAATTATTTCTTTCAAGGAATGCAGAAGAAGGTATTGCCTCTTAGGCTGACTGGTTATTTCTTGCAGGACAAATGGCAGATACTCAGGAAGATTGCCAACACTAATACTGCCTAAGGCGTATGATGCCGCTGACTTGACTTCTTCACTAGGAGAAGAGAATGCTTCCAGTATTACGGACTTCAGCTCGATTTGTCCACTTAAGTCAATGTGATGCCCAACTTCCCCAAGCGAAAGCAAAGCCAAAAGACGAATGGAATCTGTGGACCTCGAGTTCTTAACGTCTTGAATGAACTGACCTACAACAGCTGGTCCTTCCTTAGGGCAGGCTCGAGTAAGGGCAGCGACACATTTGGCAATAGAATAGTAAGACTGCTTGTGAGTAAGTGCTGTGCTCTGTGAGTACACTGGACCAGTTAACATGCGCAGTAAATCCATATAGCCTAAATTGTTTGTACCAGTCACAACCAAAGCTTGGAAAAATTCTAGCATGGCACTAAGTGCTCCACCCTGAAGTAGGGGTGATCTTACCAGCCCAATAAGTTCATTGAGAATGGAGCCACTAATCTTTGACAGGGAGGAAGGATATACTTTAGCCAGCGTTGTCAGAAAACTGATGGCCATCTGTGATACGTGCATGTCGCTTTCGCTAATCAGAGGTGGAAGCTCATCCAGGACTGCATCAATCATGGCAGCTGTCAAGCTATCGCTGTAATTCTTAATTAAAATATCGAGCGCAGAAAGAGTGCCCAGCTTCAAAGCTCGCTGGTTCTTTCTCAAAAAAGAAGCAAGAATAGGAACTCCTTCCCCAAGGATTGGTCTCAAATCTATTTTCAAAGGAGAACCAGCAATCAATGTCATTGCCTTCACAGTAGTTAACCGAGTGATTTCATTCTTCAGTCTCTCTAGAAAGATCTGAAGTGTACTAGGCAGGTCTGTGCCTAGACTGTCACCAAGGCTACAAATTATTTGACCCATGCAAGATATTGCCCTTTCTTTCACCTCCTGATCAATGTCAGCAGCCTTTAATCTCTTGATTGTGCAAGTAAACAAATCTTTGATGTAAGGAGTAGCATCAAAGGAAGTAGGCTGGTCTAAAGGACGAATAACCTTTACAAGTTGTTGGGTAACCAAAAGTGCCTCTGATGTTATCTTGTAAAATGGGTCACCAACACAAGCTACAACTGGAGGTACCAATGCTTGAACATGAGGATGAAAGACTTGGGGAGAATGATTGCAGAGGATCACATACAAACAGGACAAAGCATCTATCTTCAGATTAGAAGAACTTGATTTGTCATTCAGTGAAAATATTATTCCTGGAAGAAATCAAAATATGTATTTTTAGGGCAGGTATTTATAGTCTGCTAGAACACTTCAAAAATTCCAAAGGAAGGCAGCTATACTGAATTTACGCCTTATGGCTCCCCATCTTTCTGAATGCTTCCAAACCCCTCTCATCACTTTATTCAACCAATTGGCTTTTAAGTGTCCTCCATCAAAAGACATGGGCCATTCAATGGTTTATGACATTTTTTAATTATAAAGAAATTCTGAACCTTTAACATTTCCAACCTTACTTCAAATTTCAACATTTTAAGTTCTAAAAGCTAAACTATGGAAAATATTTTTCTCTGTTTGGATGGAAAAGAAGGCAGTTTGATTTTGTAATTAAGAATCAAACTCACTTATTTTATTTAATAAAGAAGAAAAACCCTTTAATCTTCTTTTTAAGACTAACGGAAATATATGAATAAAATATTTATATGGATATACATAACAGCTGATTATTTCGCCATTTTCTTTCAACAGAAGTCATACTTCAAAGCTTTTGCAAAAGGCACAGTCGGGACTTCAATATTTTGATGTTTCAGAACTTTCCATACCATTTATTATTAAGTATTTAAGTTAATGCTGTGTTTCTCATACCTGGTACAAGTACAGGAACATGCTGTGTTAGGGCTCCAGGTAACACATTTACTAGCTCAGTCAGCATGTTAAAGCAGCACTGACGAGTCTTAACACTTTTCTCTTTCATTTGTTTGTGCAAGGCTTTAACTATGTTGGGAACCTGTAATCATCAAACATCTGTTAATTGATTCAATAGCTGGCATTGTTTTCATTATTGATCACTGCAGGGGCTATAAAGAAATATGTGCATCCTAACACTGATTTCTCTACAGAACTAGAGAAGTTGTAGAAACATTGAGAAATAAAGATTCAAAATAAATGCTTTACAAAAATAAAGTAATTTAGCTTTGAAAGGTGATTTGCATTAATGAAACTATAGAGAGCAACAACTGAAAAGTCACCTAAATAATTCACTTCAATTAAGATTTTCAGCATTATCCTTTCTATTCTGCAAATAAAATATGTTGCAGCAGATCAAGTTTTATCTTGATCATTGGTGCTTATGTCTGGATACAGAAAGCACAAAGTAACTTTTGCTTTGGCAATTTGGCTAAATGACACAGGACATACAGTGAGTAAACAATTGAAATAAATAAGCACACTTGTATGAGTCAATTTCAGTTTCTAAGACTGCTGCATTTTTTTGGGCCAGTTTACGCAGTTTGCCCTCTATGTTAGTACTACAGGAACAAACTGTAACCTGTGTATGAAGAAAGCATGATAAAGCACATTGAATGAACTATCCTCATGGACAGGGTGAAATTTCAACATGTCTTCTCAAAGATAACAAGAATCTTTAGAAATAACCTGACTCTGAAGCATTGTCAAAGGTGTCTCTCCTTGTTCCATTGCATCAGGATCACAAAGCCAACTTTGCACAGGTCGAGTTTGTTTTAAAAGAGAAAGATATGCATGAAAAACATCTGCTTTAACATTCTCTTCACGTTCTTTGAATCTGGCTATTAAAGCAGGAGATACAGTTTTGTAGAATTCTGGAAGCATTTCGTGTCGTGTGCTAACCACAGCATCCAGACATTTAGCAGCTGCACGCCTCACTTTCCAGCTCATGTCATCATCATCACTATATTCATCATCACTCCCTTGAAAAAATAAATTATGCACATGTTCAAATCTAGACAAGCAAAGCATCAAGTTCTATTTTAAACAATTAAAAAGATCACACTCTTTAAACAATTAAAAAGTTGGGTTGTTTGCATAGGACACACAAAGAAATAGGTTCATAATTACATTAAAAACCATATACATAAAAAGTCTTCTAAATAGCTCAACTTGTAATTCTCAGCCAATTTTTTCATGCTAGTCTTCCACACAGATTAATTTAAACCGCAAATAGGAAAAGGAGCTCCCCATCATGTTTCCAGACTGACTACTGATTTAAAGCATATTCTTCTTTATTCGTGACAAACAACAAAGCAACAGTGAATACTAGCTGATCAAGATTCAATAAATTATTTTGTCTGCTTCTTTCTAGAAATAAATCAAACTATACAGCATCCCCCCAAAAAAACCAAAAAGTATAAAATAAGCAATATAGATTTTTCAGGTCTTAAAGCAACAACTATGTAGCGTAGTCCTTTCCTGAAGTAATGAGAATTTTATGCCCTCAGTTCAAATTACTTGTGTGTCCAAGTTCTCACAAAGCTTGCATCTGGCAATGCTTGCCACCATATTAACAATAAGATACCTTATGCCTTTCAGTCTGAAACACTTCTATCCTACCGAAAAATACTGAGTAATTTTCAATCTATTCTGATTTTATGCATTAGGTACCAATATATTATAGTGGAAAGTAGTGAGAAGCTTTTTCCGTGCTATATATGTATTTTCAATTCATTAACTGATGTTCTCACTTTAGTTATGTCATGTGACATGCTTCTGCCTTTTTTCACCTTTCAGGTATTTTAAAATATTTGTCTTGTATTTTATGTTCACTCTCAGAATTACTAATCTCCAGCATCAACATCCCATACTTTATTCCAGGAAATGAGTTCATTAGCCATGTTTAAACAAAGTACAAAATTTGAATGAAAGTACACAAGACATTCAAATGCTGGTACTCAGGAGTATTACCACCCAGACCAATTTTCTCAGATGGGTACAGGATCAAAAGCTCATCCTCTCCCCCAAACCAAAAAGAGAACATACCTTGATCATCATCATCACCGCCATCAGCATCCATAGCATTTTCATCTTCATCTTCATCATCATAATTGTAATTAGGATCATAAGTAAGATATTTAAGACAAATGTTTATAATAGTGGATACATGAGGATAAACTTCTTTAGGACACCTGTGTAATATAAAAATACAATAATTGTCAAATTATTTTGAAGTACTAAAATATTCTTAAAAGATTTCATGCTGCATACTGTGCTTTGGAGAGAGTAGCCAAGACAACATCAAGGCATACCTCTGAACTACAGAAATTCAAAGGTAAGGTTAGAAAGGGCAATGCCACTTTGTAACAGGATCTACAAGACTGGAAGGTTGCAAAGGACTTTTATGCCTTTGGATACCAATTTTTTACAACCACTATTGGACATAAGTATTATTAGAATGCTTCCCACATCTTGCTTGCACAAGTAGCAATGGCACAGTAGAAAGTTTGTAGAATACAGACATAACACATTGCTTAAGTGTTAAGTTACAAGACAGTTATAGAAACTGTGCCAGCTCAAAGCTTGCAAGAGTGTTTTGTATGAAGGAGGCTATCTCTTGACAACTTACAATCAAATGACACACTATTAGATCTTAAGAAAGCCTGAAATAGGTACCCATGAATGACTTACCTCCTAACAAAAGATTCAAAGGCTTGAATGCAGTACTCTCGTAGTTCATCATCATCTACATTACAAAACTTTACAACCAAAGGAATTATTTTCTCAAGATATTCACCTGGTAAGAGAAAAAAATTAGCTAAGTAATTATTCTCATGGAAAACTTCAAAGTGAAAGATAATTAATATATTTTTCTTACCTATTCTATGACCTGCTTGCCTACTGATAGCAGCAATACACTGTATATAGGTCCTAGTTGTTGACATGGAATCATTTTTAGACAGTTCTGTCAACAGATGTTCAATGAGGTCAACAAAAACCATATTGCCACAACTCATAACCAGGTGACCAAGAGCAATGATGGTTCTTTTCCTCACAGCAAGTCTTGGGCTGGTCAGCTGGGGGAGCAGACAGGTCAGAATTGAAGGATGGAAGTTAACAAGCAGTCCTCCTTGCCTTAAAACAGACAAAACACAAACTCAAAACCAATTGAATCTAGGTAACTTTGTTCATATACTGTAAAACAATCCTTCAAATATTCCCACAAACATCACAAAGATTCCAATCAAATCTTTAAAATTTCAGGTTTTAGAATTTGTTAAAAGAAATTAGTTTAAAACATACCTTCAAAACAATAAGCACTGAAATAAGCTTAAAACTACAGTTCTCAGAACATTAGTAATTGATCAACCAATTATCTTCAATACATTCACTTATTTTTTCCTAAATTAAGTTTCATGTACACATAGTATTACCATATTATTTCATATCACTTTGAATAATGTAATTTTAACATTTGGAAAACTGAGCATTCACCAGCATATTAACAGAGGGATGTTTACCTGCTCAGCATATCAGCCATGATATCCAGTGCCTCCAGTTGAACAGACACATCTTCCTGCTTGGCTATAGCACTAGTGAGACGCCCTGTGATCTTTTTGCAAACATTAGCTGCTAATGCAGAACCTGAAAGTACAACAAAACCTCAGCATTTCCATAATATTAAAAAAAAAATACAGCTTTTAACACCAGAGATGATGTTTGTGGCTATGGAAAGCAACCCAATCTACATAAAGAAACTTTTTCCAATCAACAAAACAAGCTTAAGCAGCCACTCTGCTGATGTCACGTATGCTCCGCATTAGAGCTGAAAAGACTATCTATATACAAACATGCTAAGCAGGAGGGATTCTTGTCCTAGAAGGTATACACAACAGAACACTGCTTTTGGAAGAGCAAGCAATGGAAAGTGAAAGCCACAAGACGTCTATAAATGAAAGGACTATAGGTAAAAATTAATGTATAAACCATATGGTATGGAAAAGCACAGAAGCAGATGGAGCTACTTCTTATGGCAAAAAAAAATCAAAATAAAATTATTTTGCACAAGAAGCTACTTAAAAGTCGCAGAAATACTCCTGAAACATTTGAGAAAGGGGGGGAAAATTCTATCTGAAGTATTTTAAAATACAACTAAAAATGTCTTTATTACAACTTCATAGTTCCCCTTCCCTCTAATTGTCTAACATTATTTCAAGTAATTATGAGAAGGAACTCCTGTCATGGTAATGACTGCCCAGTGGTTAGTACTCATGTTCACCTGCATGAAATTGAGTTACCTTTTGCAAATTCCAATGTGAAATTATTATCATTCCAACCTATAGTTAATCTACTTTATATATATTGTGGCTCATTCTTAACTACAACTAAAAGTAAAATATAACGAGTGGACAGTCTAATGTGTTACCATGGAGGCTAAGAAAAAGAGAATAATCTGTGTTTGAGTTGGGAGCAAGAAATAACATGTTGTTTATTTTTATATTGGGAACATTAATTATATTGCAAGACTTGCCTATGTTTTTGTTTGAGCTTTACCTCCACCCAAAAATCTTCTTTTGTGTAAGCAAACAAAAGAGTAAAAGCTTAAAACAAATTACTTAAAATTAGTTATTTATGTAAGGCTTATGCATGTCTCTGCTGCTTGATAGAAGCAAGATTTACATGTCAATTTTCAAACAGGATATCAAAATCAGGGTTTTTTTCTTAATTCAAGAGACCTCAATCTCTAAAAATGCAATTTCCAAAGCCTTTTTAATTACTCTCTAGTCTCATTCATATCCTACACTATGATATGTGAAAAGCACTTGAGTAAAAAAGTAATGCTATTGAACATTAGTGTCTCTTTCAGAGGAAAGACTGTCTTCATTTAAACCTACAGGTAAGACTTTCACTAATTTAACAGGCAACTGTCAGAAATACAAGGTACTTCCCAAAACAATTCCTAGAAAGTGAGATAAGAAATCAGATGGTTGTAATAAATTTTAAAGTGTATTATCAACCAAAGACCAACATGAGATTTAGTATTACTGCAGCCTAGATGTGCTCCACCAGGCAATTATTAAAATAAAAGCTTTTACAACTTGTTATACTGAAGTTCATATTCTCTAAGTTTGTACTCCACATTAATGCAATCCTTCAGTAAAAAAAAAGTTGTCGAGCTGGCAATATAGTCAGAGAAGGAGAAACTGAAAGGGTATTTGTGCCATGTTTTTATCCTGAAACTAGTTCCAATGCTAAATTAACTGAATCCTCTTCTTTAAAACTCCCAACTTTTTTTCTTTTTTTTGAGTCAGTAAATGATAAAAATACATGAAGTCTTTAGAACAAAATGCCTTACCACTGGAAGCTGGGGGAAGTTCTCCAATCACTGTTTTAAGACCAATGCTTGAAATGTCACGTAACTGTTCTTTATCTGAAAGCATGTTTGTACAGAGGGTATCTACAATGGTCTCCACTTGATACTCCTTCACTTTACTCACCAGAGGTCCCAGGCTGTATAAACAAGAGAAGAGTATTAAATTGGCAACACTATTTTGCATTCAAGTCATAAAACTTCAGGTTGGTTTTGGTAGCAACACAAAGCAGGATTTTAAAATTGAAAACCTTCATCTGGTTGGACTTACCTCTATAAATCTAGTAACAAAACACTTGCTTAGTACATGTTTTTTATTTGGAGCTGGAAATTCGTTTTGTATTACTGTTCTGCTTCAGTCTCAAAACCACAGTCCTTCTTAGTCTTCAATTCACAAGATTTATAACAAAAATTAACCTAGCCAGAGCCATCAGGTTACATGCTTGACCATCAATGTCTGTATAATTCACAGACAAGTAAACAATGTTCTTAATTACTGCATCTTTATTCTATATAACATTTGGTTTCTGTCACAGCTCTATGCAGTAAAACAAACCCAAAACACATCTTCCATCCCCAAATCTGTTGTATGTACCCCACTGCTGCTACACTTTTTTCCCACGTCCAAGAATGTACAGGGGCAAGACCTAATTATTATAAAAAATTACCCAGCAGAAGCAAAAGGCACAAAGCAAGAGCAAACAGGAGGAGGATATAGACAAGCAAGCCCTTGCACTCAAGCACTATGTGTGACTTACTGTACAATAGTAACCAGAGTAAGGTTCAAAGTTTTGGCATCAGTGGTCTGTCATCATGTTAGGCAAACCTGGAGCTTCTCTTTTGATGGCCATGCTCACAACACCTTACCTCCCATGAACTCAGAACAATGTTTGCACTTGAGGCACAACACTTACATTAACACCCAGGAATATGCAAATCCCACGCCAATCACACCTAGCACTTTCCATGCCTTCCTTCACAAACCATAACCTGCTTGGTTTCTTTCTCTCCTTCCCCCTCATGTGTGTACTCATGTGGTAAAACCTGCTGAAAATACATTTGGGGGGTGTGGGCAGGGGAAGGGTAGGCGGAGAGGCAGCAAAGGCAAAACATATTTGCCAAAACCAGACACTGAAGTATCACTTGCAACTCCATTTTGTTAATACACAGAACTTGGAACTAATTTGAGATTAATCAAACTAGGGCACAGACATCTGAAACTGATGCTTTATGATCACATCAACGCCACAAATTCAGAAAGATTGCAATTTATTCAATTTGTGGAGTATTTAATGGAGATTTACATATAACCTTAAAATAAATATACAACAACAACTTTGGGGTTACACTTTTAGAAAATACAGCATACAGATAATCTCAAGAGAACTGTTAATTGAGATACTGACTGGTATCTGATCAAAGGTATAAAAAGAAGCCCTTTAAGTGCACAGAAATGAAGACATAATGGATGGTTTCTCACTTGCTTCAGCAGCTTCTGCAGAAATGAACAATTCTGACAGAGACGTTCCTTAAAAGCAGTCAGACCTCATGCCCTAACCTAACATGGCCCTTTAATTTAGGGAAAGGGCAGTGTACTGGATTCTTTAGATTCAATTAAACTATCTCTACAGCCACTAAAGACTACCAGCCCTGAGACTAGGGATGGGTTTGGAGGACCGTATCGCCAGTCTAATCTGGTAATTTTACTGCTTCAATTATGTTAAATTAATAATGCATTATTAAAATAATTTCTGAACACTAATACTGGTAAAGACTTTTTGCCTCTAACTTAAAAACTGATAAATCTGTACACAAACCTTTGCAAACACAGATTATTACCAATAATTATCTCTGAGACACAAATACAGCAAGCCATCCCTGGCTGCAGTTGAAACATCTTCTCCAGTTGCAGGAAAAGCTCACAGCTTTCTTCACAACTTGATTTGACTCTTCAGTCGAGCCTCCTTCACCGTGATTCACTGACACATCTATATATAGAGTTTCTCTTCAAATACACAACACTGCTAGTCAGTGGATACTCACCGTGCTGTTGCATGCATCTACTCTTGGTGCATAGTAAATTATTTTGCAAGCAACACAAGTACAAATCAACTGAAACAGAAACCAATAGAATTCCAAGGCACTCCATGGTAGTCCAGAGAAATTGAATTCCCTGTGTGTTTCAGTCAACAGACTACAGTACACAAGGTTAAAAATCCCTTGTTTTAAACCTGAACTGTTGAACAACTACTGAATTCTTTTGATTTAAATATGCTTATTTTTCAAATGCAACCTCTGAGTAATTATAATAATCACAGTGAACACCAGTCAATCAGATTCATCTCAGCTAAGAATCAGAAACACCTTTTTGCTAATGTTTCAAAGATGACCAAACTACTGGATTGATATTAACAAACACTATAAATTGCTGGAAAGTATTGAGCCATATTTTACCTGAATCAGCATCTTCAGTCCTATTTATTCAGCAAAGCAGACATAACAATTGTGAAGTTAATTTTGCAAAATATTATCTCAAGCTTTTCTCATCTTCAAAATCAGGAAATATCACTTATAGACCTTATTATTAGTCCCAGATTACAAACCAATCTTATCAGAAATTGAAAATAAACTATAGCCTTCTTGCTTCAAATCAGTTCTGACTACAAAGCTTTTGCACTTAAGCATGTATTTTACATACTTGAAGGCCATTTTGGATCATTTTAAGTGCTCTTCGATCTTTTCCCTTTCACTAGCCTATAATTTGTGTCTAGGTTCTCTCTACAAAGCCTATTCAGCTGCCTGACAACACACTGTCTCCTTTAAGTTACACATATTTGGAAATAAAGGTGTTCATAGCATAGCTCTGTATTAGGAAGCTGAACCCCAATATATAATCAATTATAATCGCCAACTGGCATATTTTAACAGCTATGGAATAAGCATACTTATTTACAAGGAAAAATTAAAATTCACAAATTAAAAAAAAAACAAACGACATTATTCACAACTTGATTTGTTGTATAATCACTAGTATAGCATGATGTGCAGTAGTGTATTACCAAAGCATACAAAATGCTTTAAAGCTGCTGAACTGGATCAGCCACACAGCAGCTAATACATGCATCATCCTGTTCACACTAATGACTCAGATCACAGCGTCAGGGAGAGCTCCCTACGTTGAACTACTGCCCAGAGAAGTTGGCTGATAAATGCAGAGAAACTACAGTACCACAGAGAGGAATCACTGAAAGTGCTTACTGTAATCCCACCTATTATTTTTCACTCTAGATAGATTTGAGTATGTTTGGCTTCTTAACTGGTTTCAGGAAAGATTTCACAGTGTGAAATAATAAAAATTTCTATGTGTAGGTTTAAATGGCAGGATATCAAAGTCTTCAAAATGAGAAACAGTTCACCCTTAAACTGCAACACTGAACACATGAAACAATGTGCAATTTGCACCAACAGAGCATTACCAAGATTATCAGCAATGAGGCACAAGCAATACCAACACAATACCTCTGCTTAGACAAACCACACTGCTTGACTACACCTGATGCACATAATCTTAATCAAGCCACAGGCAATGTAACTACTGCTGCTATAAGGTGCACAAGATACCATGCTGGACTACACTTAGCTATAAACTAAGGATATGCTGTAAGAATAGCCTTTTCCACACCGGCTGATGGTAAAACAGCCTATGACTATCAGGTAAATCATGAACTATTCCTTCAAAAAAATGGATACAACAAAAATACATTTAATATTTTACAGGCAGTTAAGAAAAACAAGGCAAACAACCTGTTGTTACTGAGATAGGTTTCATCTACTGCCTACAGCAAAAAACTTAAAACTCAGTTCCCTTCTGAAGAGTCAAAGATTACAGCAGGCCAACTTTTACTTCAAGACTAATAATTCAGCTCATTAATTTTCATTTTTATTCAGAAATTAATTGGACAACCATTTTGCAAGGTAGCTACCCAAATAACTATGAACCCAAAAACTGACTTCTGTTTTGCTTTTATACAGCTTATCCTGCCCCAAACCAGCATATGGTAATTGAAAGGAGCAAGAACAAAATCACCAGTGTGCTTTGTAGAGATAAAAAAAAAGTTCATCAGCATTTTAACCAATAGAGCTCCTCTTACTCAAGTGCAAAAGCAAGCAGCGGATAAGGCAAAACCAGGAACACTGCTCACTAGTTGCTACACTTGCCTAAAAATAAACACTGCTTTACAGTTGCTCCAAATTGTTTTAAATCTGCTGTGTTCAGTGACCTTGAGAATCATATCTTCAAAGACTGATTCTTATGCAAGAGTTTTATTCAGATCATTTCCATTGATCTACCTGAAGAAGTTCCCCTAACAAGCTGCAAAACTTTTCTCCCTTCCTCAAGAAAAAAAAATCTATCTGAAGTGTAGATTGAAAAGTGCATTGGGCTGTCTTAAATCCTCTACGAGAGGGAATTGATACTTTAATGGTCATTAAGGGTCTGAAGAAAGTTACTGCCGATAGTCTCTACAGTTCACCACAGCATTTCAATTAAGAGAGATCTAAAGACAGCTTATGCCTTTCTCAGCTGAAGTGCCAAGAAATGCTTAACAAAAATACACAAGAGGACAAAATATTTAAAACTTAAAAAGCCAAGAAAAATATGCTGGATGAAATTAACTTCCCAATGAATCAGGCTTGCACCCAGTGTTGTAATAGATGGAAGATTTCAGATCTGCCTTAAAAAATCTACAGCTTAGCAGTGTTCAGCCTCTCCCATCCTTCACCCCCACCAATGTTTCTACCAACATGTAAACTGCAGGAAGCTAGCACTAAGCCAGAAAACTGAGTCCCTAAACCAGTCTGTGACAAAACCAGGTAAGAAGCAGTGTGAGAAAAGGAACAAGGAGTACAAGAACAGCAAACAGGAAGAAGCAGCAGCATTAGGCTTAAAACTGTCATGACTTGTTTTGAGTACAAGCTGCTTTAAGAAGAAATACTAAAAGAGTCATGGGTTTGTTTTTTTTTTTTTAATTCAAAGCATAGCTGCAAGTGATTGGGACACAAAAACCAAATCAAGTCAACTTGATGCATTCCAGAATGTACATGTGTCCACCTTCTACACAGATTGTTCACAATTCACCTAAAAACTTTTCCATTATGCTTCTTGTCCCATTAAAGTAAATTTAATACTGTTCCTTAACATTATTTGGATTTCTCAAAAACACTCCAAACTTGAAAGAGATTCAGTCACATTAGTTAAATCCAAGAGTTTTACCAATATATCAAAGTAAACTTTAAAAATTGAAGAACTGTTAATAGGAACAGGACATGTGCACACACAGAAGTCATCTACTTTCTCATTCTCTTTCCTCTGCAACCTTTAATGTTTTCGTATGCATTACCTGTACTTTAGATCCTAAATTTTTACACTGCCATTAAAGATTGTGATGTATGTGCCTATGTGCATTAATCTAAACTTCACAACAACTTTAGGATGTACATTAGAAATTAGCATTGCATGTATGCTAAAATGTAACTTTTCCACAAAATGCTATTGTGCACAAAGACAATTCTAAGCCTGAGCCAAGTTTCACAACAATATGCTCTTCTCATTGAGTATAAGCAATCTGTTTCAAAGACATGAAACCATAAGGAATTCAGACATTCCAGAAGTTTAAATTAAAAAGAAACAGGTTATTTTGTGTTGTTATGAAAAGGAGATGAGTAAGACATTTTAACAACACTGCGTCCCTACTGACAGCAGGGAAAAAGTAGTGACAATTATAGTGCTAATATAGCTAATATCTATTATCTGGCTTGAAATTTGACATTCCTACACCAGTTTGTCTGTGCAAGGTTTTGGTTACCATCACTTACAACACTTCAGAAGCTGAAGCAAACACTGCTTCTAAGTACATAAGCAGAGGTACATACACACAGGCTTTTTCTGCTCTGCTAGTCTGACAGGGCAAACTACAAAGAATAACAAGCTATAACAAATCTGGCTGGTCACAATGTGAAACTTCTCAAGCTCTTGCATACCAAGTTTACTTCAATCCGTACCTCATGGAATATAAGTAGTGTATATGGAGGATTAAAAAAAACCTGAGCTTACAAACAAGAAGCATTCTCAGGAACACTATATGCCTCTTAAGAGAAGCCTTCTTTAAAGCACACAAAAAGTCAGAATGGCCACGAACAAAAAGTCGTAGGAAATGTAGCTCCTCTTCAAAGGATGCTCTGGAAAAGTCATACCATTTACAAAGCTCAATAAAGTGAGGAAGAGAGGGCAGTTAAGCAACAGAAGTCTCTGAAATGCAAGTAAATGCACCCTGATCCCATAAAACATTTACAGTTCCTATAAAACTTGTAAAACCGTCAGTATTCTGACTGTTATTGAACAGGTAAGTTCCACGTTTGATAACCAAGGCCATATCTTTACCATGTCATGTTTTCATGTCTGCTTGAAAACAATTCTAATACTACAATTCTTCCCCTGTACATTATCTAAGGTCTCACCATCAAGTATCAATGTGGCAACTAACACTGAATTGTAAGCTTTTAGTGTCTATTTAGCAATCAAGCGTTATCACCAAAGAACAAGCGCATCACTAATACTTCCAGCAAGGACTGCATGTGCTATTTGGTACCTGAAACCCCAAATATTAATCCCCAATGTCAACAAAATATAGCTTTTCATGTTACAACAATTAAGGCAGGTAGTCTACAAGAATAAGGGATCCTGTGGGGACATAAATTTCAAAATTATTTTGTGAAGCAGTGGTCATTTGAGTTTTTAAAAGTGCTTTATATTGTTCAGTCACTATACAGTTCTTTACATCATAGAAAAAGAATACCTACCATTTGACAGCTAAGTTTTGCACCTCACCATTTTTATCTTCCAATAATTTCAATATCATCTTCACCACCTTTCTTTCACTGTCATCATCCAGCTTGATGGAATCTTTCTGTAGTTCAGTCATCAAGTCATTAGTAGCCATAAACCTGACAAAATATGTGAGATAATTATTGCTAAAGGGATATGGGTTATTCACAGTGCTCAGGATTCAAGATGCTCAGTTTCCATAATTTGTTATCAAAAAAATCACATTTAACGTTGAGTTACTGTTGTCTGTTTTGTGATGCAAGCAGCAAAAAGGAAGAAAAACTGTATTTGAAAAGGATAATAACTGAGTTAGGTCATCACCTTTCTCTTATGAGAACAGCTACATGTTTCACTTCCAGCATTTACATTATATTCCACATGATCTCCATGATCTCCACAAAGAAAAACTGACACTTTCACAGATTTTAAATAGTCCTCCCATAAGCTATGCTGATGTTGTAAAAAACAAGGGTTTTTTTTAAACTTTGTAAAAAAAGTATCTTTGCTCTGAGTTCATTTTAAAACAAGTTTTAAGCAAGCAGAAAAATGTAGTTTCTCAAACATTCTCCCATAAAATTTACAAAAGTCAAACTTTAATTAATGGAGAAATAAAATTTAAGCTTACGTTCCACGTGTTTTTAATTTTCTTGCCTTGTACAGACTAGCCTGTTTACAGCTCAGAAAACAGAGCTGATCAGTTATCCAGCCCTCAATACAGGGTGCCACAGCAAAGAACAAAATTAATTACTGAGAGATCAAGCAAATAAAATAATATTTCATATAAATTAATTTACTATTTAATAACAGTCATATCCACCAATAGAAGAACATACTGAAAAATTACTTTCCAAAAAATATTGCCTTTTGCTTTCTGTTTCTTTTCCTTCTGAAGTCTGTTTCACAATCCATTTTTCTTTTTTAAGTGTCGTCTCTTCTCAAAAGCAGCAATACAGATGTATTACTCAATTACAAATCCTATGGGCTTTGGTACTGACATCAACCCCCATTCAAAACTCCAAACAAGGGCTTGTAGTTAAACAGTTAAGGGTTAAAACATTAAGGCACATCAGCCTCAAGCAGACATCACTTCAGCTCAGGTCATGCTTGGAAGGTTATCTCTGCAGCTTGACATGCCATATACTACTTTTTACTGAAAATGAAAGGCAAGACTCTGCATAATCTTAACATGCATCAAAAATGCCAGATGCCTAACCTCACATAATGGACCTCAACTTATCCTGTCTCTTAATAATTCCAGTCTAATGGTCTCAAGGTGTTTCTAAGATAAGACCTCACTACTTTTTCATTCACTCCCAACAGTCCCACTGAAGCAAGCCTGCAGTCTGACAGGAACCAGATGTGCACAAAAACAGGCTGTGGATGCAAAGCATCAGCTTTTAAGCACAGTAATGAATAAGGCTACTTGGTAAGTAAAGGTAACAGACAGCACCTAACTTAAGGATATACATGAAGTCATACAGTACTAGAACACTCAAAAACTGTCTCCAAGTTACTGCTCTATTTACCTCCTTTTCTTAAAAACTGATTCACCTCCTCTCACTTCCTTGGCCAACAGCTCCTATTTCCTAGCCTTAGAAGATCATGTCCACTCATCACCTACTTGTCCGTTCCTAAACTAAGCAGAGCATGCACATCCTTGGTGCACCAGCAGCCTCTGCACACAACTACAACACTCTCCTGGTAGACTCCTCCACTGAAACATGCAAACCAACCCGAACACCTAGTCACAAGTCCCCTTGCCTGCACATCAATCTTTACCTGGTGCAAAGCAGGCAGCTGTACTCAGAGCAGCCACTCTCCTGCTGCAGTGAGGACACTCCTTCCACAGCCAGACTGTAACCTGCCACCTTACCTGACTGTCCATTTTAGAACTTAAGCCCAAGCTTCCATGTGGACAATCATATTCCAGCTCTGCATCAGACAGGTCAGTTTATCCAAAAAAAATAAGGATTACTTTTTACAATAGACTACTTACTTGAACAGTTGTTTTACACTCTGCTCCCTGATATAAGCAAGATAACTACACTGTCCCTATTCAAACAGATGTGATCTAAGAACAAATGCACTTAGAGTTACTGGAACTAAATACTATTTTATCCATTATGCAAATACACATAAAGTTTCATACAGTGTTACTACATAACAGCCAGTCTATCATCACTCATTTTTTATGGTTTGTAACATTAGATTTTAATCTATGTTAAGACTTTTTTTCAATATTTGAGAATTTCAAAGTTGTTCAAAGCTACTAGAACAGAATTTCTGAAGTGTACTCTACTAAAGGAACTACACAAGATGTTTTAATTACACAAAGCTGGGAGGAAAAAATAGTGTTTACTACAATTGCACTAGACAGGTTTAACCTATCCCTTCTATACAGAAAGTTTTTAAATCATAAAAATCAGTAGTTATTACAAATCCACTGGAACTTACTGTAAGTCATCCTCCCCTAAGTACAAAATGGAAATTTTGCTTAATCACAGAAACAAATTAGTATGAAAACAGTAAAAAACCTTGTAACATTTAGAAGAAAAAATGTTTCAGTCTAGTTCAGAACAATTTAAAGAAATCAGGCAACTTTAGTTTGTCTCTTTTTAGATTAATCAGTATTTTTTAATTTCCAAAATTTCCAGTCTGAACTCTCCAAGTAATGTAATTCTATTAAAATCTCAAAGAAATTGACACTAAAATCCTATATCAAATTTGTGTTCAGTACTAAAACTTTTCAAAACCTAACAAGATTATTCAAAACCCAACTCTATATATCACCACCTCCGTTTTCCTTTAAACTAAGCACTGTGATGCTGCAGCAAAGCACAAAAAACAAGTGTATTTTATGCCTTTTCCCTGCCTGTATTGATATTCTCTCACTGACAGGTAAAGCCTTCCAACTTGAATTTCTGGTTGCACTCAATACCAAAACAATGCAATTCTTTTAAACCTAATACTTTCCCAGAAATAATGTGTAAATGTATTATTATCTGCTAGTTTTTAACAGTTTACTTGTATTATTTCATTTTCTGGTATTTTACATTTAATCTGCTATTAATTTATTACAAAGCAAGGAAATGATCCAATGAAAAGTAGTGCTCCTGTGACAGATCCTGAACTCAAATTAAATTCCAGTCTTGTCCCTGTAAGACTTAACTGGACTTCTCTCTCTGGATGCACAGGGGCAGTACCAAACTACATGAGGAGCACAAAACCCCACTGTCTAAAAGACACAGCATCCCGAAGGATGTGACCGTAGGATCACAGAATCGTCTGGGTTGGAAGGGAGCTCTGCAGATCATCCAGTCCAATGCCCCTGCCTAGTCAGGGTCACCTAGAGCACTTGACACAGGAACATGTCCAGGCGGGGTTTGAAAGTCTCCAGAGAGGGAGACCCCATGACCTCCCTGGGCAGCCTGTTTCAGCGCTCTGCCACCCTCAGTGTAACAAAGATCTTCCTCGTGTTGAGGTGAAACTTATTGTGGTTTACATTATGGCCATTCCTCTGAATCCTGTCACTAGGCACCACTGAAAAGCATCTGGCACCATCCTCTCGGCACGCACCTTTGGAATAACTATATGCATTAATGAGGCCTCCTGTCTTCTCTAGACTAAACACACCCAGCTCCCTCAGTCCTCCCTCATAAGGGGGATGCTCCAGTCCCTTTATCACCGTGGCCCTCCACTGCACCCTCCTGAGTCTGCCATCCTGGCCATCCCTTCCTGCTTCTATTCGTAGAATCACAGGATCCAGGTTTTTTGAAGCTGGGAAGAGACGAGAGGGGTCACCTCATCCGACCTCTGCTGCTCAAAGCAGCGTCAGCGACAGCTGGCTGCTCAGGGCTTCGTCCCTTCAGCTTCTGAGCAATCTGCGAGGTCGGGAATTCAGACCTTCAGCCTCGCCCGTCCGCACGCGAGTCAGCAAACCTGGCGGCCGCTCGGCCTCTCCTGGCTGCTGGAGATCTCTGCCCACGATGCGTGGAGGCCGCGGCAGTGCCCGCACCGCCGCGCCCCGTCCTTCACGGGCAGAGAGTAGAGGGCCTCCCCTCACAGGAACTTTCTTCCGGGGGTAGCCCCGTGGAATCGCACCCGGCGCCGCGGCGCGGACAGCCGGGCCCGCGGCACCGGCCCCGCCGCCGGGCACCTGCCCCCGCCCGGGCGGCCGCGGCTCCAGGCCCGGGGCCGGAATCAATGGCCGCAGGGGCAGCGCGGGCGCGGGGCCGGCGGAGGACGCGGAGGGGCGGCGGCGGCGGATCTCACCTGAAGTCCTTGTCGCTGGATGTCATTTTCTCCAGCAGGTTGGAGATGTGGTACGAGGCGCTCGCCATGTTGACGGACCCGGCCAGGGCACGGGGGGAAGGGAGAGGAGGAGAGCAGAAGGCGGCGGCGGCGGCGTCTTCCCGGCCTCGCCGGCTGCACTTGGCCCGCGGCTGCAGGGGCCGGGCCGGGCCGGGCCGGGCCGGGGGCGGCGGGGCGGGGGCGGCAGCTGCGGCGGACGCGGCGGGAGGGGCGGGGAGGCGCGCGCGGCCGCTCGCGCTCGGCGCCGGGTCGAAGGCCGGCGCTGCTGATTGGGTCCGCGGGGGGGGGGGGGGGGGTTGCGGCCCGTTGCCCCCTTTTGCGTTCGGGGGTTCGTTGGGGCGGGGGTTGGGGGGGAGTTTCGGGGCCGGGGGGAAGTTGGGGGCAGGGGGGGGGGTGCCGGTGAGGCCGACCAGGACTGCGAGTCCCAGAGTGCATCGCGCTCGCGCCCAGCGGGGACCGCTGGCGGTGCACGCCGGGACATGTAGTTTGGAGTGTGGCGGGTGTCCCGCGCCGCGGTGGCTGCCGGGATGCGGAGCCTGGTTGTGGCGCGGAGGAGGCGGCGGCGAGGCGGGCGGCGCTGAGGGGGAGCGGGCTGGGGCAGGGCTGCCAGCAGCCAGCCCCGGCGGCCAACCTCGGCAGCCTCGCTGCTGTCCGCGTCGGAAGTGTTCGGCAGCGCCGGGGATGCTTTGCAGCGCTCTGCGTGGCCATTACATGCCTGCCACCTACGCTAGTGTTACAGGGCCGCAGATCCTGTTCCAGGCCCCCTCAGAGGTGTACAGTGGATCTCGTCGAAGCTGAGCACGCTCAGAAAAATGTCACATGAGAGCTGAAAATACCATGAAAAATAATGTGCTATGAAAAATAATTTTCTTGATAGATAATGGTATGCTTCCATTGGTCGTGGTTAGCTGAAAGCAGTATGAAAATGTGAGTGCTTTCAGAGGCCTTGGAAGCCAAAGGACGTTTCATAGAATGGGGCACTTTGTGTACACCGTTGCTGTTCATGTCAGTCTCATTACTTTCCTGGGCCTAATTTATGATTTGTTTATGCATAGGTAAATGATGTGGAGCATTGGGAGAACTGGGGAAATAGTGCACGTTACATCTTCCTCATGTTTCATACTAAAAGTTAAAGGGCATAAATAAATAGCCTTAATCTTCAGTTACGTGTGTGCACAGCAAACCTGAAAAAGTGACTTTTGAGCCTGTTATTAAAAATAAAGAGTTGACCTATAAAGAAATTTCTTTAGGCATTTATTACTGCAGCTTGCAGGCGGCTTTGCACAGTGGCTAATGGAAAATGTGCTCTTTACTCAGTTGGTAAACTGTGTCCCCACCACAGCCTGTCACCCTGCCCCAGTGTACAGACAACTGTCTTAGAAGATGCCCATGCTGCTAATTTTCCGGTGGCTGTGCTATTTTCAAATAGGCCATTCACTCCTCTGAATTTGCAATACTTAATTTAGTAGTTACCTTTTAGAGAGGGAAATTCTTTACTTCCTTTTGCTTGAATGTTTGTGTTGAATATTTAATGAAGCCAGCTGGAACAATACAGGTGAAGATACACTCAATCTTGACTAGGTTGTGACAGCTGAAAATGGTTTGTGGTGATATTTTACACACCCAGGAAAACTGTGTAACTCCTCTTTCAAGTACTGAGGCATGAAAAGTTGAAGTACAAATGTCTGACATTTGCCACACTGTTTCGTATTTTGCCATGGCAAGGATAGCACTATTCTAAAACATTTTGGTGACTGTGACTTTTGAGCATCTTACAACTTGTTTCCAGGACATTAGTGTCCCACAGCTGACGCATAGTGCAGGAAAAGAATGTTGTAACCTGGATTATTTACATTCACGACTTTGGTACTAAATAGGGCTTGGGTGGTTATAGGGTGGTGAAAGATCATCTGTTCCAAAAATATTCTGCCCACATGGTTACCATACTGCAGAAGCACGGTAAAACCAGCCAGACAAAAGAAAAACCTTCATGGCAATTAGGGTTGTTTTGTTGGTTTCTCTTGTAGAGTAAAGCATTGCCAGTGGTCCCTGTGAACCACTGTTGGGATTTACCTTTTTAAATCCTTACCATTTTCAATTAGACACTAAACCACTAAAGTTATTTCCCTCTTTGGGAATCCTACATGCATTTACTTTTAATAAGAGATTGTAGAAGAGGGGAAAAAAAAAATCAGAACAATTCTGCTCTGGTCTGCTAGACAACCTTGAACACTTTTAAAATTTTTCTTAAATCCTCTGACATCATTCTTCCCTTGTTAGTTCGTTCCCATACCACAGCCACCTTATCCTGCCACTGCTCAAACCCAATTACTAGCAGAAACACAGGCCATCGCAGAGGAAGAAAGTGTTTTTTTTTTTTTTTTGGTTGAAGTACATTTATTATGATTGGGATTCAGCTAAAGGAGATGTGATGTTTCAAAGGAAGTTAAACACAGAGAGAGACTAATTGAGTTGAGATTTTTTCCAGCTGATAGCAAAAAACTTCACAGAAGGAGTGGTACTCCTGCTCTGTTCCCTGTAGACATGCATATTAGATTCTCTTCAGTTCATTCACAAAGATAGCTGAAAGCTTAATTAAATGCTGGAACCTGAAAGGATTTATCTTGCTTTACACTTGCAAATAACATTCCCCAAATGTTGAAGAAGTGGGAGTTAGAGATGCATTTGCAGCCCTAGAATTTGTCTCTCTTCACAGGGGAGCTGTGAGGCTACTGATGGACAGAGGATATGGGGAATGTGCTGCATCGCAGTCTCAATCCCACTGTGCAAAGAGTTGTACCACACAGCTGTACTCAGCTTAAAGGGAATCCTTTTGGATGACAAGTTAAAAGCTGGTTATCATTTTTTACAGTTGGTTTTGGGGGAATAAAAGGAAAATTGCTGCTCTCATTGAAAAGCTGCTCGCTGCTGCAAGCAGATATTTGAACCAGAGAACCTCACAGTTGTGGTTTATCACTTAGATACATGGCTGACTTTGAACATATGAACTCTGAATTTTCACAAAAATGCCTGGAAAGAGAGTTTTACAAATTTATTGACTAGTTTTATTAACAAACCACAGATGGTTTTAAAGTAGTGATCTAGGTTTAAATATGAAAGAAATGAAAAGGAATGGTATGACACTTAATGCAAACAGTTTTAAAAAATAGCATAATCTACACTGGAATGGGCTCATAGGTAAATGTGTGTTCCAAGACATTAAGGTTATTATTGCATTGCATTATATAAACTGTCATGTTCCAAGACATGAAGGTGAATTAACTGTAGAACTTTAATCTTGGCTTTGGAATCTTAATCCTAACTTTACTCTGCTGAGGGTGGGTCTTCCCCCACCCCCCGCCCCCCACCCTTACTTTCTGTTTTCCTTATTTGTCAAGTTAGCTGGCATTTCATAGCAAAGGATAGCAATTTCTGAAGTAGAACACATTTAGAACTAAATAAATCATTGGCTGCCTTTAACCTCATAAGCCAAAGCTTTAGTTAAGGTTTTCTTTCTTCCTAAAACAGAAAATTTGTTGATGTGCAAGACTCCCAAAGCATCTTTCCAAATGGTGCTAATCTGCTGATTTTCACTTAAGATTGTTTCATTTATGGACAATTGAAGGTACTGTTGGCTTCATAGGAGGTATTTCTACACACTGTACTAAGAAGAATAAACAATATCTAGAGCTGTGAACTGCCTTCCTAACCCAGATAATCCACTTCTGAAAAGCAAGGCAAGACAAAGTGTTTGAGTATCTAATTCCATCAGCTTTAAAAGAGAAGGATAGGAAAATAGTGCTGAAAAGAATGTATTCATCTGGCTAAGTAATGGACTGAAACAGCTGTCACATGAGCTCAAATTGTGTCTTTAAAGACAGAGTTCTAATAGCACCCTCATCATAAGATCAAGTTTCAGGAAACATAATATCTTAAAGGAAAAAAATATAACAGTGTTTTAATTAAAATGTTACAAAATTTAATACTTCTACAATAATGCTAAAAGAAATTTCCCTTCCTATTGCTTAACACTGCACAGCTTTTTGCACCATGTGTAGTCATTTTCAAATACATACCACAACCACCCAAAAATAAAAATTATCAGTCTTTCAATTGAAATCTGATTTGAAATATGACCCAGAAATTTAGATTCAATTATTTTTATAATTGTATTCTTTTCATGCCAAATTAACTTGGTTTACAGAGCAAAAGGGTTTTTTCACCTTCAGTAACTCTCCTGAAAATCAGTCCAGGTTGTTTTTCTTTTTGCTTGACCATTTGCATTTTCATGCCTTATCAGAACTTGAAATTTATCATTCCTTCTGAGCCAATTATGTTTCCCTTTATGTCAGCATACCCAAATTTGTTCATATAATGATCTCAGCAATGCTTGTACTTGAGACACTTGTCTTCAATAAAATTAAAAGCAGTTGTTTAATTGGAACTTCTGTTATTGAACAATATTCTCTGTATTTCAGAAATTGTAAAAATACCAATTAAGTGTTTGCACTATTTAAGCTTATTAGAATCAGAGGTAGCTATGGATTTTCATTATTCTGGATCCCACATTTCAACAAAGCCTTGACCATACCTGCAATTTAGAGATTTCAATGTTAGTACATTGGCTAATTACAATACGAGTCAATGTTTGTTAAAGTGGACATCAGGGCTAATCTGTTTCCTGACACAACAACTGAATTCTGTTGATTCTTGCCTTAGAAATGCTTCACTTCAGGCCACAGAATGAGCTATCTTGGGCATTTATGAGACTCAGTAATTGTAAAGTTGAAAATATACAATTATTCTGCCATGCATCAGTGTGAACAGAGAGGGCTAAAATTAAACTGGAATTAATGAATCGAGGGAATGGAGTGTCACTTTGCAGAGTCTGATTTCTTGGAGCAAAATTGACTCATTTGCAGGATCGTCCAAGGTAAAGTAACTCAGTGAGTACTCTTGGAGCAGGTGATGCCTGTTGTCAGTTTACCATCACTTGAACAAGAAACAGAGTCTACTGCCTGTCAAGATATGTCCCTGTTGGCTGCCACAAACTGGCTCATGTTTTGATATTTTCCATACTCTGTGAATGTTCTGCTGAAGGGCTTTATTAGTCTTTACCTCATATGTTGAAGCTGAATGGCTCTTAATATATGATGTATG